AGAGCGTCGAGGAAGAAGAGACGTATAGAAAAAAAAAAAGAAAAAAGAATGATGCTGTGTATCATGAGAGAGGGGGAGGGGCGTGCATGTCAGTCATGTATCATGTACCATCTGCTCTTTCCAATAGTCTACCGTCAGATACTCTGGTAGACGGACACCGCCCCAGACCCAGCTCTGACCGCCGCTGATGACGTAGCTGAGGCCGAAGGAGGCTACGGTGAGGAATGTTATGACGCGGAGGATATCAATGTAGAATGTGAACCTGTCGTCATCGTCGCTATCAATCTTCTTCCTGATCTCCTTCTTGGTCTCGACGGGCCCGTCGTTGTCGTCGTCGTTGTCGTCGTCGTCGTGGGCGGTCTGCTGCGGCTTGCGCTGCCGAAGCTCTGCGGAATCTGCCATCTCCGTAACTCGATACAGAGCGAGATAGAAGGGAAAAGGTTGTTGGAGGAAAGGAGGGGGGGTTATGGAATGTAGAGGAGAGATATATAAGTGCAAGACAGGCAGAGCGAGAACAGTAGTAATGGCGAAAGGACACGCTGTAATTCGTCAGATATATATTACCACTACTACCGTCGAGATACGAAGAGGCGAACTACGGAAACGAGGAATCTTGCGGTCGACCTGCAGCGTGGCCTCCCCCCCCCCCCCCCCCCCCCCCCCCCCCCCCCCCCCCCCCCCCCCCCCGCGGCTCCGTCCGGAGTCTTCTGGATGATCCGAGATGGCTATCTGACGCTTGTGACAGGCGCACATCCCGGGCCAATTCAAACAATTTAACCATGCACTAAGAACCCTCCCTGCACACGCCCAATCTGTGGAAGCAGGGCCCGATCAATCATCAATTCCATCCATATTCGCACAATTCATGACGACAAGTCAGTATCCCCACTAAAAGCGTCTGATTGCCGTCGGCCTCATTGGTGGGAAAGGCCCGTGGTCGTCGCCCCGACAACGGCACCGCACAGCAAATTTAGGGCGTGGGAGGCGGGAACCGGCAATGGAGTACAGGATTAGTGTCAATAACAATAATATTTGATTGCCTGACAATTATTATGTATTATGGGGGGATAAACACACCACAGATGATCGTGCCAGCAGCCATTCAACATAACACACCACTTCTGGTCGGATACGCACGCACACGCACACGTACACGCACACACACACACACATGATACCTACGACCGTCAAGGCCTTTGCCTGAGCGCCCCCGTATGCAGATACATACACGCACATACAAGGCACATTCGACATAACTTTATTCTCTTCTTCTCTTTCCTGTCCCCCCCCCCCCCCCCCCACGACACCAGTTTCCCTTGGGCTAACACATATCCCCCCCCCCCTTTCAAAGGAGAGCTACGGTCGCGCCAAGGAGACACACGNCCCCCCCCCCCCCACGACACCAGTTTCCCTTGGGCTAACACATATCCCCCCCCCCCTTTCAAAGGAGAGCTACGGTCGCGCCAAGGAGACACACGCACATACGCAGGCCCTCTGGGAAAAGGAGATCCGCCGAGCCCGCAAGGAGACGTTCAAGACGCAGTCCATCAACGTCAAGCTGCAGGAGGAGCTCAAGACGGTCCGGGCCGCTGTCAAGACTCTCGAGGATAGTGTGGAGCGCGAGAGGGAGCGTAGCCGCGTCCGCGAGCAGGAGGCCTTCGAGGCCAGGTACCAGATCGTCGGCGTCCAGGAGCAGCTCGAGGCCGCTCTGGCCCGCATCAAGCTCGTAGAGCAGGAGCGCGACGCATTCAAGACGGCCGCCAAGAATGAGGGGGTGGCTCGCGTCGCTGCCGAGGGCCGCATCCCTCTGCCGCTGCAGGACCCCACAGACGAGTTTGCCTCGCCGCCCAAGAAGACCCGGCCTGCGGGAGGCTCCCCACCTCCGCCGGCCGCCCTCAGCTATAGCCAGGGCCAGAAGAAGAGGAAGACGGGCAGTCGGCAGCAGCCCCGCTTCTCCCTCTCCTCCGTCGAGATCGAGTCGGAGCTCGCCACCGAGATGGAGCTCGAGCAGCTCACCAACCAGGTCCTGTGGGAGAGGCAGAGGGCCGACCGAGCGGACGAGATGATTGAGTTCCTCCAGGCCGAGTGCGAGATGAAGATCTGCCCCTGCGGACGGTCCAGGCCGCGCCCTAGTCCCAGGGCCTCCCCTCGCCTGGCGAGGGAGTCGCTCTCTGCCTCTGCTCGTACCGTCGAGGCCGAAGGCACCCCTGCTCCCGGTACGCCTGCCACACCTCCACTCCTCCGTCACTCTGTCGAGAGGTCGGACATACCGACGGAAGACGGAACGTCTCGGCAGCAGCGCCACCGCCACTCGGAGGAGGATATGGAGCCGGAGCAGCAGCGAGAGGAGCAGGTGCAGGAAGAGGAGACGGTTATGCGTGATACCCTCCCCACCCCAGTCCAGCAGCAGCAGCAGCAGCAGCAGCAGGAAGCCGACCTGCACCGTGAGATCGATGCAGACCTTGCCGTTCCAAAGGCTAGGAAGAGCTCCCGCCGTAGCACCCTGTTCTACCCCAAGGAGGGCATCTTCCGCACCGTGTCGGAGCAGGAGGCCCAGGCTCTCAAGGCCCAGAAGGAGGTCGAGGTCGTTGCCCAGGTCGAGGAGGAGGAGCAGGAGAAGGACGAGGAGGAGGAGGAGCAGCAGCAGCAGCAGCTAGCCGGGGAAGAGGAGCAGACCGAGCTTGAAGAGCTAGGCCGAGGCCGCGGCTATGCTAGGACACCGTCTGTCGAGCCCCCCTCGTTTGCCCTCCCTCGCAACCTTTCCCAGCGCACGTCTCTCATGTCTCTCCTCAACGCCCCCCACAACGCTGACGACGACTTCTCAACTCCCAAGGTCCCCATGGTGACCGACCCTGCCGAGATGGAGGGGTACGAGGACGAGAATGAGCAGCAGCGGTGGCGTGGGAGGACGGGAGAGTCGCAGGACCTGCCTCGGATGTCGGGCCACCACCGCCGCCGCCGCCGCCAGAACGACGACGACGACGACGCCAACGACGACAATGACAAGGCTCACATCGACAGGCTCGGATCCTCCCCCGAGCTACGACCCCACCAGAGCTCGACGCTGTACACGACGGTGACGACGACGGTGCCGGTCCAGGACGAGAAGCCAATGTTCTCTTCGACGTCGTCGCTGCTGGCGGACAAGCTGCGCACGCCCTCGAGCGGCGCAAAGGTCAGCTTCGACGCCAACAACCCCGCCCTCACGCCCACCATGACGCGCGAGCAGGCCCTGGCCAAGATCCGGGAGCGCAGGGGTCGCGCCCGCAGCGCGGAGAATGCCAAGGCCACACCGGCGAACAAGAAGATGGATGTCAAGGGGAGGAGGGATATCAGTGCTCCCACGAGGAAGTTTGGATCCAACAAGTCTAGGTGATTTTTTTTTTCCACGACTTGTGTGTGTGTGTGTATGTGTGTGAATTTTTCTTTCTTTCTTGTTTTCCTTTTTCTTTCACACTCTCACCTCTCTTCTCTTGTTTTCATTTTGTCGTCACTCACCAATTGCTCTTTTTCTTTCTCTGTCTTTTCTTTCTCTGTCTTTTCTTTCTCTCTCCCTTCTTTTCTTTCCTTCTTCTCTTTTTGATTGCGAGTCTATCGCAAGCTATACCGGGCCATTACTTTTTCTTTCTTTCTTTTTTTCCCCCTCTCTTCTTCTTCGTTATCCTGCATTTCCCTCTCTTTTACCGCCCCAAAAAAAGGCAAGCAAGGCGATGGTGGAGTATTCACATTGTTTTTTTTTTCCTTTTTGCTCTAGCTGTTAGAATAACGACTTGCTCTTTTCATCTCTTCATCTTCTTCATCTCAGGCATGGGATATTTTTATTTGTGCTTGTCTTCGGTTTTTGTTTTCCTTTCCTTTTTTTTTCTTTCATAAGAAAAAAAAAAGTATATATCCCTGGAGTTTGGATCTGGAGAGAGACGTTTGAATATAATCAGAGTATTCTACATGTTAAAAGTGCCAATGATGATATAAAAGTACATTGACGATGGCAGTTGGCGTCAAGACATGCATTGGACGTGCGCTGGACGTTTGTATATCGAGATATCATGTTGCTTGCTGACCGGTGGCTATGGCTCAAGAATGCCAAGAGGGATGTATATACGTGTATACTCCGTACAACAAACCCGAGAAGAAAAGGAAGAAGAAAGAGGAAGAAGAGAAGCAGAAGAGACACAAAGATTTACAGAAATGTCCTCGTCATATTCCTACCCAATTCAGAACTGACGGCATCAACCTTGACGGCAACGAGGACACAACGGACCGAGTCACCAACCGTCTCAACCTTGACGCGCCACAGGGCCTTCTTGACGGTCCACACCACGTCCCCGTCGAAGCCTGGGCCTAGACCTAGGTCCGCGCGCGCGCCCAGGCCCGCCTCGCGGTGCACCCTGCGCCTCTTGCGCGGGTTGTCTATCGACGACGAGACCTCCTCCTCCTCACCCCCCCTGTCCCCATCACGGTACGCGTGGGGGGGTGCGAGGTCGACCCCGTCGAGGACGACGGCGGCCTCGGGCGGGAAAGACGCGGGGATGGCACCCCCTTGTTCGGATAACGGCGACGGCCCGGACGGCCCGGACGTCATCTTGGAGCCTACCACGGCGAGGAGGCGGGCGACGCGGCCGGCCGTGTCGCCGGAGAATACGGCCGTGGCCGTGAGGGTAGCGGCGGGGCCGGCGGTGCCGCCGCCGCTGCTGCTGCTGCCGCCGATACCATCGTCGGCCTGGCGGGTCAACGTCACGGTTGCGGGGTCTGCGCCGATCTCGACGACCAGCTCGGCGGGTTGGTCGTCGACAAACGGGCGGGCGTACCAGACCCAGCTGGTGGCGTAGCCGGGGTCGAGGTCGGAGTCGAGATCCGGATTGGAACCGGGGTAGGAGACCGAGCCGAGGTCGGGAACGACGCTTATGCCCCTCTTCTGTATGGCCTCGAGGCGGATGGCGATCTCGCGACGCCGGCGGGACGGGTTGTACGACAGCGAGTGGGCGACGAGCTTCTGCTCCAGGCCCTTGAAGTGGAAGTAGCGGGCGTCGCGGGCCAGGGTCTCGCGGTGGGCCTCGCCGCGCACCTCGAGCGGGTACCCGCGCAGGAGGTGGAGGAGCTCGGCGAAGGTGTCGCCGCTGCGGTTGGGCACGCTGGGCGGGACGATGCTGGGCGGCCGGATCAGGTTCTTGCGGTCCAGGCCGGGGAACAGGTCATCCGGGTTGGAGAAGAAGGCCGCGAAGCCGAGGGTGAAGAAGTTGGGCGTGTTGCCCGGGTCGGAGAAGAGGTTGCGCGGCACCTGGAACTCGCGGTGGCCGATGGTGATGAAGATGTTTTCTTCGTACAGTTGGGAGTTGAGTTTTGGGACTGTTTGTCACCGAGGTCAGAACTTTATCCTTTTTTTCCCCTCCCCCTTTCCTCCTTCACTCTCTTCACTCTCTTCTTCTTCTTCTTCTTCTTCTTCCTACGTACGATTGTAGAATTGTGCGTCGGCAAATAGTCGAACAAAGTGCGTCCCGTCTCGAGGAGTGACGTGGTACCCCTGCAGGTGAAGGGCAATGTCGCGAAACGTCTCCGGGTCGCGATCGATGTACAAGGTCTTGATGCCACTGCACATGTCTAGGCCCTTGTCTTGTGCTTCGCGTATCTGGCAGGCAAAGTATTGCGAAAAGTATGAGGGGGCTACTCTCTCTCTCTCTCTCCCAAATCAGCCCGCATACATGCAGAAAAAAATACACTCACGCGCACGCGCCGCGCGCGTACACACACAAGAGGGACTGACCATCGGACGATATCGAAGCTCCGGAGAGCTTGAACAGCTCCCCGCCAATCTGTATGGGAAAGACGCGCTCGTGGGGGAGGATCGGCGGAATCTTGATGCCGTTGGCGCCGGTGCCGGGTTCGGCCTCGGGCTTGGGAGAAGGGTGGATGGGGATGTCGGGCCCTGATGGCAAGGGAGGTGGATTCGACGTCCCATCCCGTGGGGTTGTATTTGACATGTCTGGTTGCTTCTTCTCCTCTCTTCTGCTGCGCTTCGGTGATGCAGGCTGGCCGATGCAAGGTTGGGAAGGAAGGAAAGAAGAGCAGCAGGTCTGTAAAGATTTAGAGAGCTTGGGTGGGAGCCTTAGGAGAGGGTCGATTGTGAGGGTGGGCCAAGGATGTTGGCTGCTGTACACAATGTATGTTGCCAATTGTCAACATGATATCTACTACTCTCAAGAGTGCTTTTCCTACATAGGACCAAAATGGTATATTAATTTGCTCCTCTCCTTTCTCCTTTCTTCTTCATCTTTCTTCTTCTTCCTTTTATTTTTATTTTTATTTTTTCAAATTTTACTTTTTACAAGTGAAAACATCAGTCAATGATTGAAATCATTGTCCCATCAGCTCAACACCTCGCCTGACAACTCCCACAACGGCACCCGTCTGCACCACCTCGCTACCGCCACCGGCAACGCGGTGCTCGACCTCTGCCAGCCCATCAAGCCACGATATCATGACCTCGGGCTTGACCTCTAGGCGGGATAGCTCCTCGGCCAGGGCGGTGATGATGTCGGCCAGGGCCAGACCCCTCGACACCTTGAGGGCGTTTATGGTGGTGAGGCAGCTGGTCACGTCCGACGTCTTGAGCAGGACAGACATGATTTCCTTGATGGCGTCGGGCGGGGCCGCAGCGATGCAGTTGTATATGGACTCCGTCGTGATGATCTCGCGTTCGATCTCGCTTTCGGGGATCTTGGGGGCGTCTCTCGGTCGTAGGGGGGTACCTTTTGCGGACGGTCAGTCGATCGGTTCGTGCGAGCATGCGAGCACGTAGTAGAAGATGTTTGCAGTATAGGATCCTCAGAATCCTCATTGTGGAAGAGCCGAGCGTAGCGAGGAGTCTAGAAGGGAAAAAAAAGACTTACTGGAAGCATGACAAGCCTGCAAAACATTCAAAGCCCGTCTCATATCACCATTACTCAACTTGACGAGGGCGTCGACGGCCTCGGCTCCGATCCTGACCGACTCCTCCTCGACCACCTTCTCGACTAGGACGCGTATGTCCGCCTCCTTGAGCGGGCTGAAGCGGAACCTCGTGCAGCGGCTGAGCAGCGCGGGGCTGAGCTTGTGTGCGTAGTTCGCGATGATGCAGAACCGCGTGTTGACAGTGTACTTTTCCATGATGCGACGGAGTGCCATCTGTGCCGTGTTGGTCATGGCGTCGGCCTCGTCCAGGATGATGAGCTTGTATCCCGCCACATTCCCGCCTCCCGGAGCGGAAGAAGAGGAGGAGATGCCGCCGCCACCCATGTTGAAGATTTGCCTGGTGCTGGCAAAAGTCTTGATCTGCTCTCGCACCACGTCTATGCCTCGGTCGTCCGAGGCGTTGAGCTCCAGGACCATCTGCCGCATGTTGGACGTCCCGTAGATGCGACGGGCCAGGGCGAGGATGGTCGACGTCTTCCCCGTGCCGGGGGGCCCGTAGAGGAGGAGGTGAGGGAGCCGGTTGGACTCGACGAACTTGTTGATGGTGGCTAGGATGTCCTGGTGGCCTGAGACGTCTTCGAGCGTTGCTGGACGGTACTTTTCCACCCTGAAGTCTTCCTAGTCAGCTGCTTTGTTCTTTCCCCCCTCTCCCTCTCCCCCTCCCTCTCTCCCCCCCCCCCTCTCTCTCTCGGCAGCATACAGAGGATGCAGAGAGGGATGGAGTGAAGAGAGAGGGGTGGAGCGAAGAGAGAGGGGTGGAGTGGAGAGAGAGAGGCTGTATGTAATACCATGGCAGATTGTCCTCGGCTTCGACCGGTAGGTTGGCTGCGCTCCTCTTGCCCTTGTTCACCTCGGAGGTGAATGTGACGTCGGCCGCGGGGGCGTCAATGTCCATCTCGTCTTCGATGTCCGACATGGCTGCTGCTGGATTCCGGTCCTTCTTCCCGGTCTCTCTTACCGGACTGGAAATCTTCCTTCGTGAGCCGTCCAACTACTGAGCTTGAGAGTTTGCTGGTGTACTCAATCGAGGAGAGGCAAAGCGGATTTGGATGGATGATTATGCAAGGAGCTTTGGTTCCAATGGGGGGTGTGGGCCACTCTGGACGCGCCTCGACCGCGTTTCGAGCGTTCCCGCTCTGATAACCTGTCAGTCATGTCCAATCTATTAAAATCCCTGCACATCTCACCTCTGTTTTTCATTTTCTTCTTCTCTTCTTTGGTTGTTTACTCTTCATGTATGTATGTATATTCTTATCCCTCCTCTCCCTCTGTTTTGTCATACTCGAAAAAGGGTATAATATTATCGTTAAATATAAAAGGAGAAGAAGGAAGAAGAAGAGAGAGAGAGAATACTGGTGATACTGCAAATATTCACAATATATATATATCCATAAATGATACTCCATGGTTAAGAGATAAATATAACAATAAAACCCCCCAAAAGGGGAAAGGAAAAATAAAGGAGGAAAACATGATAAAAGGAAAGCGACGCCTATCATCAACATCACATGCCCTGGTTCCTAACCGCTCAAATCATAAAGGAGGAACAAGATGAAAGAAGGAAAAAAAGATAGAGAAGTAAAGATTGGATTAACTCCACCCCCCCCCCCCCCCCCCCTTATATCCTATATATAGAAGAAAGGAAGCGAGATATAACAAAAGATCAACCGAGAAGAGATGAGAAACCCGAAAAGCGCCGATCGTATTGTATATATATGCCCCACCTCAACTCGACTCGAGTTGATTCGTCCCCAGACCGACAAGCTCAAAGGTCAGCGGTATAAGGGCCGTGGCAAGCCATGCGATGCCTGAGATCATTTAGCTTCACTGTATCGTCCGGAGGGGAGCAGGGGAGGAAGAGAGGGAAGAGAGGGGGCTCACCAGCATAGACGATGAGCTTGGTGACGACCTCGACATCGTAGCGCACACGCGGCTTGATGAGCTTGGAAAACACGGCGCTCTCGTCAAAGTCGCCTTCGGCACCGTAATCGACCCCCACCTCGTTCGACTGCCTCGACGGCGTGGCCGTTTCGGCCGTGGCCTGGGCAGCGTCCACCTGTCCCATCTGCTTCTCGAAGCGGTCCACCCCCGAGGCCTGGGCCACGCTGCCGTTGCGGTCGACGCCGTCCGCAGACTTGCGCTGCGTCTGCGGCTCGGGCGGTTCCCTGCTCCCCGACTTGCTGCGGGGGCTGCCGTTGCCGTTGCCGTTGCCGTGGCTGTTGTTGTTGATGTTGATGCTGCTGATGGACTCCTTGCGACGCTTCTCCCTGTACGCGATGGTCTCGTACGCGTCCGCGGCGCTCTGGGGCCCCACGGAGACGGAGCGGCCGCGCGTCTTGGGGTTACGGATGCTCTCGACCATGCGGGGGAAGTCGGAGGCGGAGGGGAACATCGTGTCGAGGCGGGAGCCGGGCGGGACGGTCTCGTACTCGCTCGCCGGGGTGAAGAAGCGGCGCGGCAGGGACCATCCGGAGTCCTCGATGAGGCGGAACAGGGTGGGGAGGGTCCTGAGGAGGAGGGGCTTCATGGTCTCGCGCCAGAGGAAGACGATGAGGCTGCCGAGGACTATGCGGGCGACGTTGACGGCCGGCCCCAGCGACGCGACGTCGACCGTCTTGTTTCCGTAGGCGTGCATGTCCCACGGGTCGTTGGGTATGCGGCCGTAGGTCCAGGTGCCGGCCTCGAGGCCTATGACGACGCCGGCAAAGGCCACGCTGTCGTCGAAGCAGGGGCAGTCGTCGGCCGGCTCCGGGTGGATGCGCACGAGGATGACGATGACGACGCCGGCGATGACGGGCGCCACCCAGGAGCTCGTGTGCATGTACTCGTCCAGCGGAGGGCCCAGGCTGAACTCGAGCAGCGAGATGACGGTGCCGAGGACCGACCCGACGACGACGTCCAGGAACCCGTGCATGCCGCAGTACAGCCTCCCCACGACGATGGACGCGGAGTAGAAGTAGGCCAGCACCTCGAGGGCGAGCTTGGTCGTGGGCGCGAGGGAGTTGTCCGGGCTGTGGAGGAGGAGTATGCCGTACACGGCCACCGACAGGGCGTTGGCGCTGTGCGTCGACGGGAAGCCGTATTCCAGGGCCGCCGAGCCCGACATGGTGATGCGGTTGAGCGGCGGGGAGAGCGGTCGCGGAAGTGAGTAGAAGTCCTTGATGAAGCCGGTCCAGAAGACGCCGAGGGCTAGGATATGAACCAGACTACACAGGCACGCGCACGCGCGCACGCACATGCGCACACGTGCCTCTCCGTCAGCTCGACGCCTCTTCTCGGCCATGTCCTGTGTTTGCGAGAAAGGGGGGGGGGGGCAGAAAGCAGACGCGCACAGAGAGGAGAAGGAAAGAGGGAGAGGAAGGAAAACATACCCCTTTCCCAAGGCGGGATACCCGCACCAGAAGCATATCGGCAGTCCAACCATGAAGAAGGTATGAGTGCCCAGATTGGCCGTGATGGCAAAGTAGCTGTCGAGGGCGGGCGTGCGCAGCTTCTCCTGCAGCCAGGCTAGGTACGGAGTCTCCCAGCGGATCAGGGGCAGAACGCTCTGTCGCAAGTCATATCGCCACTTGGGGAGTGCTCTCTTGTCTATACAATCATGACGAGATTCCCGTACGTTAGTTAGCCTTGATGTGCTCGGTCATCCCCCCCCGCGTATCTTTCTTCTTCTTCTTCATCATCTTCTTCTTCTTCTTTTTTGCGCGCGCGCTCGAGCGCAAACGAGAGAGAGGGAGAGGGAGAGGGAGAGAGAGGGGGGGAGAGAGAGGGAGAGAGGGGAGTTGTGAGGAGTTGTTGTTTCGCGCACAGTGATCTAGACTTCGTAGACCCGCATCGGGCGGACTATCGTTCGCGACATCATCTTTGGCCGTCATGACGACAAACGGTCAAGAGAGAAAAAGGGGGAGGGGGCAGCGACTGCCAGTAAACGGTCTCAGCAGAGTTCGAGGTCGAGGTCTAGCGGGCGACAGGCAGGCGGGTGTTGGATGATTCGGACAGCCGTCATGGCCTGCCTCGTTCTGGTAACGACGAGGAAGAGGAAAGTGCTCCTTCGTTTCTCTCCTTGGGGGAACAGCCCAGAGCGCTTGGTCTCGGTGGAATTGGGGTCGACGGGCCAGTGGTGATATCGTACAATATGCGCGGGAGAGAGAGGGGGGGGGGGGGGGGGGGGTGGGAGAGCGAGAGAAGGGATACAAGGTAATGGGTAATGGGTAATGTGGGTTTATTCGGGTCGTGGTGGGGGGAGATAGTGTGAGAGGGAGTGACGGGGAGGGTTGGGATACGGGGCCCTAGCATTTTAGAGTGCATCGTTACTGTTTTACCTCTGGTTGGCATGCGCTCCTGCAGCTCGATATTACCACTACAGATTACAGGTCTACGGCAACCTCACTCCGTACTCGTAGTGGTATGGCACGGTATGGGAATGATAACCACTGGTATACCTGTAATCTATCTGCATTACATGTCATCAGATGATGAAATAGTATTGCGAGTATGTATTTCGTATGATAGATGCCAGATGATCTGCAATGCTACTCATCTAATCTGTTTCCTATCGTGTAATAATAGATGACGGCCCAGATCTGTAATCGGCAGTTGGTACATGGACTCATCTGGCTCACCTCTCCCCTTTCCTTGAACTCGTTCGGTAAACCCTGATAGACCTGCTCGATAAAATCGTCGACCCCGTCCCCACCACGTCACTGATAAGACGCCGACGCGCTACACCTCGATCTGGGGCGGTGAGTCGGGGACTCTCACTCTTCCTTGATACTGCCGCCTCCCCTTCTACGTCGCGTCAAGCGTCCCTGCGTACAGGGTAAGATTGTCTGTAAATTCCGTAAAACACCGTAGAACCATCGTCATCACTTCTCTGCCCTCCTCCCATAGATACTGTTCACATCACCGTCCTGCCATCTCCCGATCCAAGCATGATCATAGCAGGTAAACACTGCGCCATCGTCGGCGCAACAGGCACGATCGGCACCGCCATAGCCAGAGCTTTCGCCTCCAAGGGTGCCGTCCTCTCCCTCCTGGGCCGTACAGCTCTAGACATGCAGTCCAAGATGGAACCTACCCTCTCGGTCCCCCCTCCTTCTTCTTCGTCTCCCTCTCGTCATCGCTTTATCAAGCTTGACGTCTCCTCTCCACAAGGAATCCAGACAGCTTTTGCTTCACGTGTAAGTCAGGGGAGGGGATCAAACCATCAATCGTATATATATATATGTGTGTGTGTGTGTGTGTGTGTGTGTATGTATATATGTATATACATGTATGCATCCTCCTCGTTGCTGAAAACAAAACGTGCTAGGACCCAAACGCAGTCGGCCCTGTGGACATACTCATCAACTGCGCCGGTATATCGCAGACCACCGTCCTCAAGCGTACTCCTGACGCTGAGCTGTCTGACATCCTCGGCACCAATCTGACTGCTACTATGCTCGTGTGCAAATACGCCAAGGTTCAAGATTGGGGTAGGTTTTGTTTCCCTCTTACCCTCCAACCCCTCCCCCGCCCCCTTCTTGTCTGTCTCCCTTTTCTCATGTCGTTCCTATGTCTCGACGTATACCGCCGTGTAGAGAGAAAGGGAGGACCGAAAACAGATGTCCGCTGACAATTCAGGCTGCATCGTCAACGTCTCCAGCCTCATGGCGAATAGACCTGCCGCCGGAGCAGCTGCTTATGCTGCCGCCAAGGCAGGCGTAGTAGGTAAGCCGTTCCACACACACATTCATCCTCGGACATTGTCAACGCCTTCTCAGATCTGTATATTTGTATTCGTGTGTGTATCGTGAAAGACGATAGCAGCAGGTCCCTTCTGTTTTCTTTCTTTCCCTTCCTGACCCAGATTCCAGGTCTCACAAGTGCCCTCTGCCTCGAAATGGCCACCCGTTCCATCCGTGTAAATGCCTTGCTACCAGGCTGGGTTGAAAGCCCCATGTGGGACAGTATGTTCCGTTTTCTTTCTTTCCTCCCCTGTATTCCTGTGTTTTTATTTTCATCTCATCTCAATATCTCCCCTCTCTGAATCTTTCTTTTTTTACATCTCCGTCCCCTTACTCTTTTTTTATATTTTTTTTTTTTTTTTTTACCTTTGCACCCAAGATATCGAATCCACTCCATATCCATCCGAAGAAAGAAGAGATATAAAAGCACAGAATAAGAAGAGAAGAGGAAGAAGAAGAAGCTAATGTACAAAATGACCGTTGTCCTGTGTGTTATAGATTTGCGGCCGACCCTCAAGGAGAAGTATCTTCAGAATACCCCGGCTCGTCGTGCAGGAACACCCGACGAAGTCGCCGACGCTGCCGTGTTTCTGGCTTCCAACGACTTCGCCAACAATTGCGTCTTGAACCTCGACGGGGGCTTGAGCGCTGCGTGAGAGCAGAAAGCAGCAGACGTCATTCGAGCTCGTGGTAGGGAAGAAGAGGAATGAAGTAGTCCCCTTTTGCTTCACTCAGTCATCACCAATCACGATGGCACCACCATCTTCGATGGCCACCACGTCATCATCGTCACCTCCCGCCTTGACCCTCTTCGCCTTCTTGGATGACTGCTCGCTATCCTCACCAGGATGAGATCGCTTGGCACCTTTGGCAGGCACTTCATCCTCAATGATTGTCACGACTTCGCTGTCGCCGTTCTTCTGAACCTCGGAACGGCCGTTGGCTTCTACCGGTGCAGGTGGCGCCGCCTTCTTGGGCTTGCGCGGCACGTCCGGATGTTGTGGGCTTGCTGACCTCAATGGCTTCTCGTCGTCGCCGAACGATCTGTACGGGTTGGTCCCGTTAGCTGACGTCTTCCTGCTACCAGCTGTATAATATAATGTGCATACCCTTCCTCGACGCTGACAACAATGTTCACCCAAGTGTCTTCGTCGTCGTCGTCGATCACTGTCAAGAAGCTGCCGCCGCTGATATCTTTGAGAGCGTTAGTTCTCGGTCCGTAGACGAAAGCATCTCACTTTTGAGTCGTTCGATAGGTAGAGAAAAAGGATACGCACTAAGCTCAGATAGCTTCTTGGGGAGATTGTCCGTCTCGTCGGGGTCATAGATGACACCAACATCGTTGTTCAGGACAAAATCCTTCTCTCCCAGACCCAAGTGCTCCTTGAGGAAATCCTCGACAATGTCGTTGAGCGTGGTCCGTGTCGGGTCAACCGTGACAGTGGTGTTGTAGACGCTGCAGACTGGGCAGTCGGGGTTCGGCTCTCGTGACCGGTCAGGGGCGAGAAGCCTTGCCGGCACAAACGGCGTCAAAAAGACCTGCGAGTGTATGCGTGAGATGTGACATATATAGTAGGAGGAGAAAGAAAGTAGTGAAGAAGGGGGAGGGGAGGGGTGGATGGCGTCTACATACCTCCTTAGCCTGCGAGTACTCCCCCTTGAGCACCTTGAACGCCTGCAGGACGCAGAGGCCAGCGACGATGGCATTGGTGGTGGCGATGGCTGGGATGATATTTCCGGCCATCTGCTTGGTGTCGAACCGCGACTTGCGTTCGATGCCGAATATAGTAGAGCGGATATTTGCACTCGCCACGACAAAGTCGAGCGTATCCTGGTCATCCTTGTCGAAGGCGATGACGGGTCCGGGCGCATTCGGCGAGTCCTTGTTGGCCTCTCCGTTCTTCTCGAGCTCGAGCAGACGCGCGCTCAGCCGCTCCAGGCTGTCGTTGAAGACGACGAGGTTCTCCTCCAGGTCCCACACCTTCTGGTCGTCAGCCAAGACGGTCTGCTTGGCGTCCGCAGCTTCTTTGGCCTGCGACAGGACTGTCTCGTAGCTCAGTGGCTCCGGGGCCTTTCGCGACTTCCACATGCCTTCGACGGAGCGCAGGCGTTCAATGTCCGAGTTGAAGACCTTGTCGAATAGCATTCGGGGGAATTCGGGTGTGCCTACGGCCTCGCGGATCGTCTTGAGAGCTTGCGACTCCCTCTTCAACTCTTCAATCTCGTCGGCTGCAGCTGGTCAGTTGTTACCGCGGACACACAGATGGAAGCTCACCTCCCGCTCACTCACCATTGTCGGAGTCCTCTGAGTGATCAAACACGGCCTGGTCCTCGCTTGTGCCGAAAATCTCGCTGCAGGAACGCCAGTCAGTCACGGGCTCTCCTCACTGATGATAAGACCGTACCCACTTGAGAAGGTAGCTCTTGGCCCAGACGATGCAGTGTATGGGCTGGCTAGGCGTGCTGCGAATGGTGCAGACGGGGAAAGACTTGGGTGCCTCCTTGGGGCTGCAGTCGTAGCAGGCAGTCACACCCTTCTTGATGACCTGGACCTGGCCGTTGAAGCCCGTGGTTCCGCTCTCGACGAGGGGCACGTCGGCGGCGAGGCACATCTTGTTGACGTGACGCCTGGCCTCGAGGTTGTCGAGCGCGTTGAAGACGAGCCTGAATCCGCGGAACCAGGAGACGTTGAACTGCGAATCTTTGATGTTGGCATGGTGGGCGATAATCTGCACCTTTGGGTTGAACTTTTGCGCCGCTTCCTTGGCAACGTGGGCCTTGGATTTCTTGATGTGCTCGTGTCGGAACAGGAACTGGCGGTTGAGGTTGGACAGGTCGATCGTGTCGAGGTCGACAATGTGGATTTCGCCGAAGCCCGTGAGGACGAGGTTCTTGAGCAGCTCGCAGCCGATGCCGCCGGCGCCGACCATGAGCACCCGTGCCTGCGAACCCCGTGTTAGCTAATACGAAGACGAGCGGAGAGTATACCAGCAGGTGAACGGCTTTGGCGTACCTGCTTCACAGATGAGTTGAGAGATGCTCCCAGAGATTGGTAGTTAAATTTATCTCGTGGGGCGATGTGCGGGCGACGCTGGGGCGCGGCAGCCGGAGGAGCTGCGGCCGAAGCAGCAGGCGGCGGCTGCAGAGGCGGCGGCTGCAGAGGTGGCGGCCTGTTATCGGTGCTGGGCCGTGCATCTTGGATCGGCTGTTGTCCTTGCTTTTGCTGCTCCGGCTGGTGAGAGGGAACGGAGACGGGAGGAGCGGGTACAGACGCGGACGAAGCAGTCGGGGCTTCTTCACCCGCAACGTTGGTGGGTTCGGCAGCGTCCATCGGGTGCGTCGCGTGCGCACGCAAGCAAACTAGAAGGAAAGAAGGAAGAGATACGAAGGAACAATCCCTGATCCGAGAGGGTTCGCACAAAAAGGTTCGCCAGTGGGGATGAAAAGATACGAAGAGTAGGAATGGAACAAAAGGTGAGGGGACCGTGAGGGGACCGTGAGGGTGATGAAATGAACCTGAGCTGTATGTATTACGATGCACGATGCGCCAGCAGAAAGTGCAGGAAGGCTCAATTAACTGTACAGCAGCAGCTGGTTTCCAATGCGACGAGAACGCTGGCCCAGGTGACGACACCGACCAACCAGGTGACGGCTGACTGCGGCCACTGGAGCAAGTCCCTCGCGCTCGGGCCGGGCGCCACCCTGATGCCAGATGGAGGTGGGCCAGCACTGAGCACGGGCAGCACGGGCAGCATTAGCCTCTAGATACAGCCTACAGGCAAGATATAGGGCATACAGGGCCTAGCCATTGGTTCCAGCGAAGCCCTCTGATGGTCCAGCCATACTGAAATGGACCGTGCTCGTACCTTGGAGAGTCCTGATGGTGTGTTTGTGTTACAGTTGTCCGAACGGGACAGCAAGATGAACTGATGAGGCTCCGAGATGCATGCAGGGTTTTATATGGGGAAGGAAAGGGTCATTCACCAATACATGTGTACAATATATATATATATATATATATATATATATATATATATATATACATTCCATATGATGAGAGTTATGTTTTACTTCTGTCAACTCACAGGGGACGGAGGGGGAGGGGGGAGGAGGAGGGGGGGGAGGAAGGCAAGATGAAAGGACGGAAGGTACAGCCCCCAGTGTACAGGCAAGCATGAGATACATCACTGGCTGCTTGGCCCCACGACAAGATTCTCTCACAGGGGAGGTGAGAGAAAGGGATAATATCATCGCGAGCTGCGAAGCTACGAATATAAATCCTTTCAGTGTCTCCCCCTCCCCACCCACATAAATCTCCGTTGAAAGGCAAACGACCTTTCGAAGGGGATAGGAAAGGAAATGTCGGACGACGAGGCCGATCCTGAGCTCCTGGAGCTCCTCCGCCAGCACCTCCAGGGCCAACAGCCCGCTGTCGAGCCGGAGCCCGAGACTGGCGTCCTAGAGGGATGCGAGTACATCTACGACAACTGCATCGACGTCGCCCTCGACATGCTGGCCTCCAAGAAGGCCGCCGAGACTATCTATCTCAAGATGCAGGAGAATAACTACTCGACGGCCACGTGGAGCGATCACGAGCTACATCCCAAGGATAAGGACGAGTCCACCGTCGACTTCATCTTCACCATGGACCTGCTCAACTTTTCATTCTGGTCTGAGCTGCCAGATGATGAGCGCTTCGCCGTCGAATACAAGGGCAAGCTGCGAACTGGATACTGGAGCCTGGTTGCTTCACTCCAGAGAGCCCTTGATGAGGGTTGGTGGGGAAAACGATCTTCCGTCTTTTTTTCCCCCGTGTCTTCTCCTGATGCCTCATTGTACAATCCTCTCTGACGTATCATTATTCCAATCGTAGGCATTCCCATAACGGATCCCCATTACTGGCAAGATGAAACCAAGTGTAACCTCGAGTCTCTAAGACACGTCTTCCGCTCCGCCACGGAAGAGGAGATGCCCCTGATCGAGGAGCGTCTAGACTGCCTTAGAGAGGCCGGTCAAGTTCTCCACGAGGTAAAACTCCCTTTCCCTTGCCACTCGGCTACAGGTGTTCCGATATCCTAATTGTGTGTATGTGTGTGTGTGTCTTGTCAGTATTATGATGACTCTCCCGTCAACCTCATCCAGGCAGCAGATGGCTCGGCCGCCCGTCTCGTCAACATGCTCGCCCGCGACTTTGACTGTTTCCGCGATGAGCACTACTACGAAGGCCGTTCCAAACCCGTCCGCTTCCTCAAGCGCGCCCAGATCCTGGTGGCGGACCTGTGGGCCTGCTTCAACGGCCAGTCCTACGGCGAGTTCCGCGACATCGACAAGATCACCATTTTTGCCGACTACCGCATCCCCCAGATGCTCCTGTCCCTCGGCGTGCTCTACCTAAGTCCTACCGTGGCTGCTGCCATAAAGGACAAGCAACTGCTCGAGAGCGGTGGGTTGTGGGAAATGCAGCTTCGAGGTGAGTTTCCCACTAGTCTGACCAACCCATGTGTTCGTGTTCTTACAGCGATACTGACGCCGTGCAGCCTGTAGCATCTGGGGCGTAGAGCTTCTCCGCAGGCAGATCAAGAGAGAACACCCAGAAACCCATGTCAATGCGATCCTGATAGACTTTTTCCTCTACGATACCATGAAGGAACTGGAGAAGGAAGGGAAAGAGACTCTCCCGCATCACCGTACTCGAAGTATATGGTACTAGGACACGGTGATTCGTTTTTGCGTCTCTCCTTCCTCTTCTTCTGAATTATATACCTATTTAGAGATGGAAACTCCCAAGACCCCATTATACCAGATCCCATATGATGATCACGTTCCCAGCATAGCCATGCGACTCCGTAACGATAACCTGCTTCTCTTGCCCGTAAACCCGTCAAACATTCGACCCAACCGCCGTAGCACCCATGAGCTTCTCCATGTGCGACGTCTGCACGCCCTTGGCGTGGGCCTCGTCCTCCCTGAGAAGCACGGCAAGTACCTCGACCGGCGGGTTCAGTCCAAGACGTTCAGCCCGCTCCCAGCGCCTCATCCTACTCATACCGATGCATGGCTACTCAGGCATAAGTCGCAGCGTCAGCAAATCAGATCCCTTGCTTTTTCCCCATCCCGAAGCGTAATGAGTAGATGGGGAGGAGGGAGCTTAACTTACCCCGTAACGTGAGCTGACGTCAAAGTAGCGCAGTATCTTCTCGTTGCGCCCGAGGTCACCCTGGTGCACGCGTGGTGCGATCCTCTCCTTCTCAATCGCCCTCCAGTACTGTTCAATAGCCTTGTCCGTCACATTCTCCGCCCTGACTACTGCCTCTGACTTGCGAGGGAGCTCTACTTCCTCTTTAGTTGCCTCTTCTTCTTCTTCTTCTTCTTCTTCTTCTTCCTTCTCTTTCGGCTCCTCCCTGTGTTTGGATAGGATATCGACAGCTACGTCATCATCGTGAGGCGGTTCGACATCGACCCTGGTTGGGATGTTCGGGATGGATGTGGTATTCTTGCCCTTAACGTCGTGTGCGACATTCTTGCTGACCCTTGTGTGGAAGCTGAGTGTCGATTGGTGCTTGCCTGGACCGCGTGAGTAGTAGGCTCGAGGGGTGGGCATGATGGAGAAGTGGTCGGGGCACAGGCCGGGGAAGTGGAAGAGATAATAATAGAGAAACAATGATACAAGATAATTGGCAAGTGCGCGGAAGAAGAGGAAGGGAAAAATGAAAAAATGATTAGTGGAAGGATGGGGGTCTCAACAGGTCGCAAGACGATGTACTGGTACTCCCGTACGAATCTCTAGATGGCGATGTCGGGGTCAATTGGATGATATCATACCGTGGATTCAGGGTTGCGCCGGGTAGGACAAAATGTCTAATTGAAGCCTGGCGAATGGGGAGTTTTAGTATTACTTGGCGGGGTAACGCGAGTATGGAGCGATATCACGTGACTGAGACTATGTTTTCCAAAAGGTGTTGCTACATGGCACAAATAGCCGGTCTAGTTTCATATCTTTCTAGTTCGATTTTATCTATCGTTTTTTGTTTATTTATACCTTCCCTTTTTGTATGTAGCGAAATCAGATAAGTTGTCGGGCTGCTAATAGATCAACCCCCCGTGGCCTCCCGGTAAAACGAGATACTCCTGTTCGACCCAGCCGTGCAAAACATCTCGCTCTTGCCCGTCTTGGGGAGCCACTTGGCCGCCCAGAGGGGCTTGTCTGTCTCGCTGTGTGTGGCGACGCAGGTGTTGCGCTCGACGGACCACACCTTGACCTTGCCGTCCATGGCACCGCTCAGGAGGAACTCGCCCGTGTCGCTCCAGTCGACCGTCGTGATCCACGATGAGTGGCCCGTGAGATTCCCGACGTGCTCGCCGTGCTTGATGTCGTATAGTGCAATGATTCCTGCGTCTCCTGCCGCTGCAAGGCGACTGTTGCCCGGGGAGAAGGCGACGGACCGGACGGGCTTTGCCAGGCCTTGGTAGAGTACGTCAGACGAGAAAGAAGTGGGAAGAGGGCAAAAAACAAAACCCAGAAAGAGGGAATAAAGGTAAAGGAGATATATAGTGAGGGCGGATCTCTTACCGGATAGAGAAAAGAGCATTCTGCCAGTGTCATTGTTGAAGATGTAAACGGCGCCGTTCTGATGCCCGCTGGCCGTGTATTTGCCGTCCCTGCTGACGTCGACGCACATGCCGAAACTGCCAGAACCGGGGCTTCCAGTCTCGTACTCCTGAACCTTGGTCCTCTTCTCGCCTTCCGCCGCGATGTCCCATACGTTGACCCTGCCATCGTTTGTCGTGGCGGCGAGGAAGTTGCCCTCCTCGCTGAGGGCCAGGGCCCAGGCCTCGCCGGGCTTGGGCGACGCGGTTAGCTCGCCGTTGGGGGACCATTCCCCCGTCTCCTGGTCCAGGGACCAGAGCTTGACCTCCCCGCCGAACCCGGCGCTGGCGGCGACCTGGCCGTTGTGCGAGGTGCAGATGTGGTGGCAGCCGAGCTTGTGGGCGTCCGAGAGGGACTGCTTCAGCGGGAAGGCAGGGTCCGTCGCGTCGTGGACGTGTAGAGTCGACGACCCGCTACCCGTTATGATTGACTTTGGTGTCGTTGCCACCGCGAATATGTCGGTGATGTGTGCTGTTTGAGAAGTGAGTCGATGACCTTCTCACCATGACGGCGGGGTTGCTACCAGGTACTCACCGTTGTCCACGGTATGCGTGGTCAGGTATTGCTTCGACTATAGGGTCCGAATTAGATCGATAACAAAGCAAAGCAACCCTCCCAAGACTTACCATCTTGACAATGTCTTCCGGTGCTCAATGTACACCACATGTGTGGGCTTGCAAATGTTGGTGAAGACGGCAACAGAAGCTAGCGGGGCGTAGTGCATTTTCCTACTTTGATGTCACTGACGTTGTTTGCTTCTAGCGGCAGTATCACGGAGGACTCAGGTTACCGGACGGGCACAGAATATCGACAAATGACCACGTAGAGAATATGCATGGCAATCCCATTTGTATGATTCTTATTCTTTTTCAAATCTTTACACGGTAACGACCTTTACCCGACAATGTCGGCGTAGTTTGGTGAGGCAGAAAGCAGCCTGTTTGTCATGGTGCGCAACGACGTGAGCCCCAAAAATACATCCCTTGCTTCTTGCTTGAACTATTGGTACAATGAACGAGAATTCCCAGAAAAACGCCAGCTATCATATGCACGTCACTTCGCGAGCCCTTGCCAATTCCCATGGCAAGCAGTCAACCGCAGGTGTCCGTCCGTACGTATACAGTAATCCTTTTTTATTTATTTATACAGATCGCAATCTTCACGCCGATGACGTACCCGACGTGCCATCCTCGCGCCATAACCTTCTCATGTCTGCAAGGGAAAGATATGTCAGCTTCCGTAGAGGAGAGGGGAAGGGCAAATAAGAAAGAAGTAAGTGGACTTGGCACACCTTCAAGACAGTTCTGGCAGAGCCGGTGGGTGCGCTTGACGGCACCACAGCCAGGGCACTTGCACAGGTTGTTGACATCCTTGAGGGCTTTTCCGGCCATCTGCCGGTGACGCTTGCGCGCGTGCGATGTCTTGTTCTTGGGAACGGCACGTAGGACCGACTCCCAAATATCGCCGAGGAGTCCGGGGATGTTGAGGCTGACACCGGGAAGGGCGATGGAGAGCGACGGGAGGAGGCGCGAGGCGAAGCGCGTGGCGTAGAAATCGACCCAGCGGGACACCGAAGGCACCGCAAGGCGAGGAATAACGGGAGCGGCAATGGCAGCCATGTCGATAGCAGTCGCTCGAGGGTTCGGATGGGAGAGTTTTCGGGAGAAGAGGATGGGGGGGGGGGCGTGCGCGTCGGTGTCGGGCGACAGAAAAGAGCACTGCCGTGGGAGAGAAGAATACACCACGGAGGTGCACGGAGCTCCGTCTGGTGGGGAAACGGAGTTGTTGATGCGGCTTTGCTGTTGCTCGACCGTCAAACAGCTTCGATTCTGTGCACGATCACGACTTCCCTTCTAGCGTGGTCAAAAGTCTTGCAAGGCCGAGAAAACCCAGCTCGTGCCGGCGAGCCAATCAGAGGCTAGATAAGCACGGACGCGAATTTGGCCAATGGCAGAATCTGTCCACCGCTTTCCCCTGACCTTCTTCCCCCTTTCTTGGTGCACTTTTACTGGCCTGACTCCATAGGCTCTCCCCATCTGTCTTGCACTACTCCGTACTCCGTAGACTACTGGTCCATTCCCCAAAGCACCGAAATTATTGCGCTGGCGGGCTACAGGTTCTAAGGGAACGGCCCAGTGTATGTGTCCAGTGAAGCCACCTAAACCCCCCTCAACCCCCCTAAACCTCAAGCAAAAAGTTGGCGTGTTCTCTGACTTGGCCTACTTGTACCCAGCCAGCTCTCGGGGCCCGCCTTGTCCACACCTCTTGCCTACTGCTCCCCTACTATTATTATAATCTCCTTCTCTCTCAAGCCCCGACGCCAGCTCGTTGCCGCTTTGTATGTTTCTCGACGAGCCGTGATACCCCCCCATATTCACGCGTCGGCCATTCTCTGGATTCCTTGCATTACTCATTGGAAACAGAGCTGTCAAGCGTTTTTCTTGACCTCTACGACAGGACACGTCCCACCGCCTCTCCCCCACCCCCTGATCATCCCCTCGGACAACTCGACGACGACAAGATGGCGACCGTTCCTCCCACCACCATCACGCCTAACAGCCATGTCGGTTTCGACAGCATCACGTCGCAGATTGAGCGCAAGCTCTTGAAGCGCGGTTTCCAGTTCAACGTCATCTGCGTTGGTATGTTTTGACTCTCCATGTCCCGAAGCCTCCCCTAGCATAGTCGCAGTCAAGCTAGATACGGTACATGTTGCCGGTTGGGAGGTCAAGACGGCTTTCTCCTTGTGCGCGTCTCGCTAACGGGCCACGATTCAATTTCAGGCCAGACTGGACTCGGAAAGTCGACGCTGATCAACACCATCTTCGCCTCGCACCTGATCGACTCCAAGGGTCGCCTGCAGCCCGACGAGCCCATTCGCTCGACCACGGAGATCCAGGCCGCTTCTCACATCATTGAGGAGAACGGCGTCCGCCTGCGCCTCAACATTGTCGACACGCCCGGCTACGGAGACCTCGTCAACAATGACCGCTGCTGGGACCCCATCGTCAAGTACATCAAGGACCAGCACTCCGCCTACCTGAGGAAGGAGCTTACGGCCCAGCGTGAGCGCTACATCCAGGACACGCGCATCCACTGCTGCCTGTTCTTCATCCAGCCCTCGGGCCACTCCCTGAAGCCCATTGACATTGTCGTCCTCAAGAAGCTCTCGGACGTTGTCAATGTCGTGCCCGTCATTGCCAAGGCCGACACGCTCACCGTCGAGGAGCGCCAGGAGTTCAAGGAGCGCATCAAGCAGGAATTTGCTTTCCACAACCTCAAGATGTTCCCGTACGACAATGAGGAGTTTGATGACGAGGAGCGTGCCCTGAATGGAGAGATCAAAGTATGTATTTTACCACGGCTCCCATCCCTTTTTTTATATGTATCTATGTATCTGTGGGCCAGCCTTATCGCATGGTTTTATATACTAACTCGGACCGAGCAGAGCCTGGTCCCCTTTGCCGTTGTCGGCTCGGAGAAGAACATCATCGTCGATGGCAAGCAGGTCCGCGGACGCCAGAACAGGTGGGGTGTCATCAATGTCGAGGACGAGAAGCACTGCGAGTTTATCTACCTCCGGGATTTCCTGCTCCGCACCCACCTCCAGGACCTCATCGAGACGACTTCGCAGACCCACTACGAGACTTTCCGTGCCAAGCAGCTGCTGGCCCTTAAGGAGAGCAGTGCTCACGGCGGTGGCAGTGGAAGCCGCCCCATCAGCCCGTCCGCGGACCGCGAGCTGAGCCGCAACTCTCAGCGGATGACCATGAACGGCTACTAGTCCAGCCGACATGCGAAAGACGCCGAGAAGAAGCGGAGGAGTGTTTTAGGGCCAGAAAAGGCCGCGGGTGGTGTGAACTTTGAGAAACGTGCGACGGACCCGTACGTCGTGTGAAAGAAGCAATGTGGCCGGTCTTTTTTATTTTATTTTTATTTTTTTTCATGTCTTTTCTTTTCTTCGACCCTATCCTCTCCCCCTCCTCCCCTGCCTGACCCTCTTCCCCTTTTCCTTCACGGCCATCGCTTGGAGTCGATTATCCCAGATGACCCTTTATCCCCCCTCTTACCCGCAAGAAGTTGTCTACCGGGATAAAGATCCAAGAGGAGAATGAATGTTTCAGAGGAAGCGTGGGCTCTACGAGGAGGAGGATAATTTTAAAAAAAAGGCCGGATGGAGGACGGAGTCTTGTCGGTGACGGACGTTTTTCGCTGACCCCGGTACGACGGCGACTTCGGCTTGGGCGTTGCTGTGTTCCGTTCTATTGATTAACCTACTTGTTACACACAACTGGGCACCTCCGAACGGGCCTCTTTTTTACTATCGTCTTTTAGTATTACCCCTCTGAGCTAATTTTATTCTCTTTTTCCTTCTCGTGCATGCCTGGCTTTGTGCTATGCCCCCCTTTCCCCTTTCGAAAGCCATCGAATGAGACTGATCGATGAGATGACGGAGCAGTGTGATATGTCTATATGGATGTGCACGAGCACTTATTGCTGCCGCCGGTCGTTTCTGATAGTGACTGCTCGTAAGTGCCGTGTATTGAGTAGTATTGATGTTCCTTTCTCATCGGTCTCGCTGTGCCATGAATGTTTGACCTGCTCTTGTCTCTGGTCACCTTGTCGAGTTCTCGTCTCAGAGCCAATAGGCTGTATAACATGGATAGAATTGCATATTGATACTGCCACCAGCACAGGAGCCCATGTCGTCTCACGCGGTGCCACCAAGATGCGAGATGCCTGGTTTACGTGAGGAGTGATGATTGGGAGGGAGATATCCCGGAGCAGGTACGAGTATAGGTAGGTTACAGGGGGGGGGATATATAACGGTGTTAATATCGGTGCTATGATAGAATCTGGGATGGAGAGCTACGGTATTGATTAATTTACCGACACTTCACGTAGGAGGCTACCAGCCCTCGACGTGGATGGCCCTACTCGTACAGTCGGGTCCTTTTGTTATTTGTCGTGGTCAAATGCCGTGGTCAGATGTCGCTGTCAGATTATCCGGGCCAACGGCCGTATTGATATCGTTAGCAGGGAGATGGCATTCCAGGTCAAAGAAGCGGTAGCCAGAGTGCCAAGCGAACTCCCGAACGTGTGACGGATAATGATGGTAGGCCTTGGCGAGACATGTAGAAGAAAGGGAGATCATTATAAGAGAGACAATAGTATATTACACGCAATACAATGTAATGGAGAAAATCTGCACGTAATGAATGTATCGGAAGAAATCTTCAACGGATGTCGGACCCTTACTTTGGGTGTACGGGTTGCAGTAGGTAGGTAAATCACCCCCCAGGCGTATAGACTACGTGCGAGTAGAAGTACGGGGTATTGCTCATACCAGAGTCTGGGAGTATTACTAATACTACCGACAGTAGCCTGTATTAACCTGTAGGTATTACTCCGTAGGCATTGGCAATCAGTCGCATCGGGGGGCCAACAATGCTTCATCTCATGTCATCCCATACGAAAAAAAAAAAAAAAACCAGTAAATCACGTACCAAATTATGAACTAGAATTAACCGGGGGTGCGTGGAGGAGGAGGGGAAAGAAGATAATTACAGTCTACAGGTACTCGTACATGTACAGATTACAGCCAGCCATCCTTCCAGGTGCTTCGACTTGACCGCTTACGACCAAAGAGCTCGAGAACGGGTGGGCCAAAAACAGAAGGGTCGACCTAATATTCCTTTCCGTTCAGGCTCACAAACGGTGCGTTCGAGCGATTGACCGAAGTCGAAGGTCGCGGACTCGACCGATGATGAGATTGGTAGTGAAGCGAACAGAGAACAGAGAGGGGTTGAACATCAGCTTCTGCGACAATACATGCAACTGCAGCCCCCTCTCTCTCTGAGAGAGAGAGAGAGAGAGAGAGAGAGAGAGAAAAGGAGGCCTCAGGACCTCTGAAGAGAGCGCTCGATAATGCGTCACGGGTATCAGAAAAGAAATGAAAGGCAGGGTGCCGAGACTAAAGCCGCTGCTCTGGGGCCTTGGCATTCTCGCCCCTGAACTTCAAAGGCCGCGATAGGCGGCCATAAGTCCCGGAGCTTCCCAGGGACTCCGCTAGAGCTTAGGGGAGACGCTCGAGAGGACCCTCCTCGCTGTTCCTCCAGTCTTCCTTTCGAGTCTTGTCGAGGCCTGTGGTCCATTCATAAATGGCGGGAAGTGGGCGCTAATATACTCGTGCCTGTTGCCCCCGCCCCCCCCCCCCCTTTCCCTAACAAAAAGGGCCCCGCTACCAATAACCCGATGGGGCAGGAAGGAGAGAGAGAGAGAGAGAGAAACGGCGCCTCATTGTACATATTACATATTCATCTGTAATCTGTACGTCGTAAGGTATCTGGTTCAGTGCCAGTGCCAGTACCCCGGAGGACCCCCGGAGAGGGGCGAGGAGACCATGGCATGAGAATGCTAGGCTTGTATCATCAATGTGTACCACGTTGCTCAACACCCCCCTGTCTTCCCGGCAAATACGGAGGATTATCACTGTCACTCATTTCAAGTATCACACCGTAGCAGCTTAGTGTTACTGCCGTACCCAGTCGTGATTTACTAGCACTCCGTACACACACACACACACAATAAGAGACCGGCCGTCGCCAGTTGCGCCTCTGTCCCACAGTTGCTCTCACATACTCGTCTTCCCCTTCCTCACCTACGCTCCTTCCTCACGGTCCAAGTTGGCCGATCGTTCCTTCCCTAACCTTGTCTTCAAGTCGCTCATTTTAAAGTGTATTTCATTCTTGAATTTCACTCCTCTTCGCTCTATTCTTTTCGCCAATTTTTTTTTCTTCTCTTGCTACAACAACACGAACGGCAACATCTTCGCCATCATGCTCGTAAGTATCGTACCAGCCACTTAACAGCTCCTCTTTTTTTTTTTTTTGTGCCTATTCCCCAATCACCGTTTCGGAAGAAGGTTGGCTTCGCGCGTACCGGGCCGTTCCCAACGGCTCGCAGCAACACCCGTATATCTTGCCGGAAAGCTTACAGTGACAATTGTTATGACAGATGAAATCTGCCCTGGTGGCTATCTGGGCTACGGCGGCCGCAGCCGTCAACCCCCTCAAGATTGACGGCCGCAACTTTGTCGATGAGGATAACAACCGCTTCCAGATCGTTGGTATGGCCTACCAGCCTGGTGGCAGCGCCGGCTACAACCCCAAGACCGGCAAAGACCCCCTCAGCCACAAGGATGCCTGCCTCCGTGACGCCGCCCTCATGCAGGTCCTCGGTGTCAACGCCATCCGCGTCTACAACGTCGACCCTGACATCAACCACGATGAGTGCGCCAGCATCTTCAATGCCGTGAGTAGCAGGGCAGCCTGATGTAGATTGTCTCGATGGGATCTGCGAATAGAAGTGGCTGACTCGAGTATCCCCGACAGGCCGGCATCTACATGATGATCGACGTGAACTCTCCCCTCGTCGGCGAGTCCATCTCCTCGTACCAGCCCTGGACCACCTACTACGACACCTACGTCAACCGCACCTTTGCCGTCGTCGAGGCCTTCTCCAACTACCCCAACACTCTTCTCTTCTTCTCCGGCAACGAGATCATCAATGACGTCAAGTCTGCCGCCGATGTCCCCCCCTACATGCGCGCCATCACCCGTGATCTCAAGAACTACATCTCCAAGAACATTGACCGCAAGATTCCCGTCGGCTACTCCGCCGCCGATGTCCGCTCTGTTCTCTGGGACACTTTTGACTACGTCACCTGCGCCCTCGACGGCAGCGACGACGACGCCAGCCGTGCCGACTTCTTCGCCCTGAACTCGTACTCTTGGTGCGGTATCGACGCCACCTTCACCTCGTCCGGCTACGACAAGCTCGTCAGCGGCTTCAAGGACAGCTCCGTCCCCGTCTTCTTCAGCGAGTACGGCTGCAACGAGACCCCGCAGCGCTGGTTCAACGAGACGCTGGCCATCTACAGCGACAAGATGTACAACGTCTTCTCGGGTGGTGTCGTCTACGAGTACACCCAGGAGGACAACGACTACGGCCTCGTCGATGTCTCCGGCAGCACCGCCAAGCTCCTCGATGACTACGTCCACCTCAAGGAGAAGCTCGCCATGGTTGACTGGGAGAGCATGGAGGGCATGGAGCCCCTCGCCGACGAGGCGATTGTCGAGTGCAGCTCCAAGCTCATCACCGTCGACGGTTTCGACAGCAACTTCACCCTCCCCGACCTCCCCCCCAACGTCGCCCCCATGATCAAGAACGGCATCAGCCCCAAGCCCAGCGGCAAGATTGTCGACATCAGCAGCTACGACGTCACGCTCAAGGTCGAGGACGCCGAGGGCAACGCGCTCAGCGACCTCAAGGTTGTCCCCATAACCTCGGCCAACTACAACGGCAAGAACAAGGCCGAGACTGGCAGCAGCAGCAGCAACAGCAGCAGCAGCAGCAGCAACAGCACCGACTCTTCCAGCGCCGACGCCGACTCGAGCTCCAGCGACGACGACTCGAGCGCCGCCATGATGGCCATGCCCGCTATCTGGGCCGCCGCCGTGCCCGTCCTCGCCATGATCTTTGCTTAGGTGGTTTGATAGTTGGCGATGCAGGAGGAGAGGAGGAACAAGAGAAATGTGTGTAGTTTTTTTTATTTTTTTCTTTTAGAGAAGACATTAGGCGGCTGTGGTATTGCATTCCATCAAGCGTGATTTTGATCTTGACATTGATCCATTTTCCCCTCTTCGCTTTTTTATTTATAAAGACGAGTTTCGACATTGCTTGCTTGCTTTCTTCCTGGCTCCAGGCCAATTTGGTGATGTGATGATACAAATGAAGTTGTAAAGCCAAGATGAAGTAGATGAGCAAATAAAAAGAAATGGCACATGATTCGTAAGGGTTTTTTTTTTTTGGGGGGGGGGTTTCTTCTCTTTCTCTTTCCCTCGACTCTTTTACTTCTTCGGCCGAGGCTGGTCAGATTTCTGTTTCTCTTCTGATTGAGACTTGTCATCTTGCGTCTGCTGAGTAGTCTGAGTAGCCTGAGTAGCCTGAGTAGCCTGAGTAATCTGAATAGTCTGAGTAGTCTGAGTGTGTGATGGCTGTTTGCCGTTCTTGGTATTTGAGCTGGGAGACTTTTCACTCATATTCTCGTCCTCGTGCTTGTCGTTGATGCTGCCATCGTCATCGTCGTCCTCGATGTCGTCGCTGTCCTTGCTGCCGTCCTTGATGTTGTCGCTGCTGCTACTCATGACGACGTCCCCGTCCTTGTCCCTAGCGTAGTAGTAGTCATCCGAGTCGAAGGAGCGGCCGGGAGGGCTACCGGAGGGATGACGCTGGTGGTGACTGTACCGGCTGTACGGATAGGTGAAGCCGTGATGAAGGCTGTCGTAGGGGCGGGAGTAGTCGTCATCGTAGTCGTAGGAGACGTGGTGGAGGGACTTGGTGCATCCAGGGTTGACGTCACAGTCTAGACAGAATTCGTGCGTACCGTAATCGGCAGCCCGACAGCAGTCTGGGCAGCACATTTCTTTTTTTTCCTTCTTCTTTTTTCCTCTTTTTTTTTTTTTTTTTGAGAAAGGACTC